TAAGGATGTACAACTTTCCAAAATGAAGTTCAATATTCCAAAAAATGAATGCAGCTTACAAACTAAAAAAAAAAAATGAATTTTTTAATACACATCTTAAATGAATTGACCAAACATAACTATAATATCCATTCATCCAAATTAACCCTTTTCTACAATTCTAGTCTCTTACAATATAAAAATAAAATAAACACTCTAATAAAATACATAAAAAATTCAACTCCACAATTCTTAAATAATTTTAACTTTGTAACACCACTAACACCTCCATATACCCCTATACGAACATGCACAAGACCTAAGGAAGTTATAGAGGACACATCAGAACTTCAAAATATAAATGTAACAACATTTTATAAAAGGTACCTACATATTTCAGTACCTATATGGCTATAGGTTTGTAAAAGAGTAAAGGTGACTTAATTAGATTTTTTTTCATTTCAGATCCATGAGAACAGAAGTACTGCAAATTTTGAATAATATAAGTTAATTGTTAAAGAGCCCCGATTAGGGTCATGAGTGCTGGTGTCGATCGGGGGAGTAGTGGTTTTTCGACAAAAAAAATCACTCGGTGGTGGCAGTCAATATTATAATATATGAGTTGATGTAATATGAACTGGTTTTATAGGCTTGAATTTCGCGTTAATAAATTGGCTCTGGTACGGTATGATATTCTTTCGATCGTATTTAAACGCAAAATTTACCCTAAGCTACCGCCCCTGTGCAGTGGGTGAGCGTGACATCAATATCACGGGATCTCATTGTGCAGTTTTGGTCTACAGTGAGACTCACTCGGTAGATCGTTATTGATTTGCCAATTTTTCAATTTTGACATTTTGGTATCCTTCAATTCAAAATTTCAAGGAGAATAATAATTATTTGAGGATATAATATAATGCGGTGTTAGCGACAAATGTTTTTTGTGTAAAATGTATCATAATCAAACCAAGTTATAATGTATATTGTAAGGGCCGAGGCACTGTGTGCCCTGAACTGGTCACACTGCGCCTCGCGCCCAACCGAGACACGGACAACCGCGACGGCGGCACGTCCGGCGACAGTCTTGCTCTAGTTTTCGTAGCGACCGGGTACACCGTTTTGTCCCGCGTCCCCGGCGACCGTTTATCCAAGTAAATCACAGTCATGTTCTAGTTTTCGTAGCGACCGGGTACACCGCTTTGTCCCGCGTCCCCGACGACCGTTAATCTAAGTTGTTAAGTTAGAAACTGTAATCTTATGTTCTTCTAGTTTGCCGTTTGTAAGAATAAACGCCGAATACCACACACTTCGTTCTAAATATTTACCTAGTTTCCAGAATCCTGACCCGAGTCTTACCTTAAACTGCTACCGATCGTTAGTTGTTTAAAGTTCGCTAACATTTCAGAAGTGGGATAAGCTCGAAGGCCCCTCACACGTGTTTCCGAGTGCGTCGACGGACCCGAAACTCCGAAATCGTGACCCGTTTGTCACGAGGTTTCTGTTCGGTCACGTTGTATTTCCGTGTGCGACTTCGGGAAAACCCATCACGTAACGTACGTAACGTTATCTCGCCTGCTGTTTTCGATCGCGATCGTGCGAGTGCGCCCGTCCGCCGCTCCGACGCCCGATCGTGCGAGTGCGCCCGTCCGCCGCTCCGACGCCCGATCGTGCGAGTGCGCCCGTCCGCCGCTCCGACGCCCGATCTTGCGAGTGCGCCCGTCCGCCGCTCCGACGCCCGATCGTGCGAGTGCGCCCGTCCGCCGCTCCGACGCCCGATCGTGCGAGTGCGCCCGTCCGCCGTTTCGACACCGATTTTAATATGGGTGACCATACCCCACCAACGAACATTCAGCACATCCAAGCTCCCACGTACAACGAGCTTTTCAATCTGGCCCAGTCGCTGAAGTCGCGGTTGGAGTTGCTGGAAAAGAATGCGGGAAATCCTGTCATGACGCAGCCCCCGACACAGCAAACCGAGAACTCCGTGCCACACTCCTACAGCGATTACCGAATGTTGCCGGATCTGAACCGAACTGTGCCTGAATTCACCGGCCACGAATCGAGCTGCGCCGCCGAAGATTGGTTGAGCACTGTCGATGCTCTGGCTGGTATAAACAATTGGCCAACGCCATACCGACTGCAGTTCGTGAAATCGAACATGATGAACGCGGCCCGTAGCTGGTACCACACGGAGGTATTCACGGATTGGTCCGATTTTAAGGTGAAGTTCCGTTCCGCCTTTGTCCGTACACTACGTATGACGGACCGATGGAAGGCGCTGAGTGAACGTCTGCAAGGGGAAACTGAGCACATAGCTGACTATTTCTACGACAAGCTCCGTCTGTGCCAAGCTTTGCATCTCACCTTCACTGAAACGCGGGACCACATCGTCATGGGTATTCGTTCTCAAGAATTGGCAGTTTATGCCATGAGCAGGGACCACAGCACTACCGCAACACTGCTGGCCGACCTGCAAGAATGGCAACGTTTGTACGAACTGCGACGGACGCAGTTTCCGACGACGGCTAGGCCACACGTAGTGCCTGCCGCGAAGACAACGAAGTACGAACAACGAAACACCGATACCCGTCGTACCGCCGATGAGACGCCGTCGACGTCGGCAACGCCAAGTGAAGGTCCAACGACCTCATCTGAGTTACCGAAAACGTCCACGGTACGATGTTACAACTGTGGTGGTACCGGACATATATCACGTGATTGTCCGAAACCACGGAAACCATGTTCGGGCTGTCAGTCGACGACGCATTCGCGAGGTCAGTGCACCGTGAATCCACGCAAGGTTGCGCCTCCCGCCGAAATATATTGCGTTGAACTGACATCAAGATACCCGAAGGAGAACTGTTTTATGAAGGATATACTGTTCAACGACATACGCGCTACCTGCCTGATCGACACGGGTTCGTCAGATGTTTTGGTACGCATCAGCCTCGCCGAACGATCCACGTCGGAAATCCGCAAGGTCTGTCGTCCATTGGTCACGGTCGGAGACACGAACTCTCCAGGTGCGGTGACGTTGGGTGAGACCACTGCAGACATAGCCGTCGATAACGCGAGCGCTGCCGATCACCCGGTGCTTGTCGTCAGTGACGACTCTATCCCTGTGGACGTAATCGTAGGCCGGACGTGGCTAAATCTACCACACATCAGTTATTACAAGCGCCAAGATGAGCTGGTCATCGAGACACTCAACGGTTTTAACTCTACAGCGCTGTCCGAAAATGTGTCTGAGGAAAGTACGAATGTATATGCAGCCCTAGTCAGTGCTGACAAGCCCACGATGACGCCGCTACTGCATACCGACGTCAAGATTGACCCGGGTGTCACTGAAGCCGAACGCGGCAGTTTGATGACGCTCATAAACGAGGACCGTGATGTGTTCGCCAAGACGTTGGCTGAACTCAATTGCACAGACGTAATGAAAATGAACATTGACGAGGTGCAGGGTAGTGACCTTGTGTGTCAAAAACCGTATCGCACGTCACCAACCGACCGTCGCATCACTGCACAGATTTTGAACGACTGGAAGTCCGCCGGTGTTGTTTCGGACTCTACGTTACCATACGCTAGCCCGGTGCTCCTTGTAAATAAGGGCACAGGTGAAAAACGATTGTGTGTTGATTACCGAAGGCTTAATCAACACACACAGAACCAACCATATCCGATGCCGGATATCGACGACCTATTATCGCGGCTCGCGGAGAGTCGGATATTCTCCACGATGGACCTCTCCAATGGATTATTGCAAATTCCACGGAGCGAAGAGGCCAAGGAGAAAACTGCATTTGTCACGGAGGAGACCACCGCGAGGTTCGAACGAATGCCGTTTGGGTTGAAAGGGGCCCCCGGTACGTTACAAAGAAATATGAACACCGTTTCTCGAGGTGTGATACAACCAGGACAGAAAGTACACGCAATCAAGACATTCCCGCAGCCCCGGGATGCACACGAGCTCACAGGGAAGGATGTGGCGTACGAGCGAGGTCGAAGCAGAAGACGAAGATGGCGATGTCCGACATGAGGTCGATGATGAAGACCCCGTGGTGCGGAGCGCAACCCGACCGTCACCGGGCCCAGCCGGATCAAACGTCCACCTGCGTACCTGTCCGACTACAAGCTGGACTAATTCCTATCTACCTACTGCATCATGATATGCACCTGCTTGTAAAGTTTTTATTTAATTGTGAAAAATTATTTAATCACCCGTTGTAAGTTTTTTATTTAATTGTGAAAAATTATTTAATCACCCGTTGTAAGTTTTTTATTTAATTGTGGAAAATTATTTAATCACCCGTTGTAAGTTATTTATTTAATTGTTTAAAATTATTTAATCATCCGTTGTAAGTTATTTATTGTAATGTCGCCTAACGTTTCTGGCTTGGCTCTCCTCAGAGCGAGGACACTCTGACTGGCCAGGAAAGGCCGAATGTTAGCGACAAATGTTTTTTGTGTAAAATGTATCATAATCAAACCAAGTTATAATGTATATTGTAAGGGCCGAGGCACTGTGTGCCCTGAACTGGTCACACTGCGCCTCGCGCCCAACCGAGACACGGACAACCGCGACGGCGGCACGTCCGGCGACAGTCTTGCTCTAGTTTTCGTAGCGACCGGGTACACCGTTTTGTCCCGCGTCCCCGGCGACCGTTTATCCAAGTAAATCACAGTCATGTTCTAGTTTTCGTAGCGACCGGGTACACCGCTTTGTCCCGCGTCCCCGACGACCGTTAATCTAAGTTGTTAAGTTAGAAACTGTAATCTTATGTTCTTCTAGTTTGCCGTTTGTAAGAATAAACGCCGAATACCACACACTTCGTTCTAAATATTTACCTAGTTTCCAGAATCCTGACCCGAGTCTTACCTTAAACTGCTACCGATCGTTAGTTGTTTAAAGTTCGCTAACAGCGGTTACTGATATCCTGGTAAAATACGTCTATATTTGTGCCGGATGACAATTTAAAACATTTTTGCAATCATTCCACACCACCTTGGTATGTATGAGGTTATTGCACGTGACGCGTTTTTTTTAAGTGGTTCGCCTGTAGTTCATTTTGCATTGACATTTCATCCATATCATCTAATCGCAATGGACTTACCTCTCTGACGATGCTGTCATTTTCAATTTCGGACATAGTTTGCAAAACCTCTTCATCTACATCATCTTCCGCCGAATCACCTTCACCTAAATCTGTACCCGAGTCATAGGAAAACTCTTCATCAGACGATAATGGTTCTTCGAACATTTCGGAAATATCATTATCGGATAAACGAATTTTTTTAGTAACTGGTGATTTTGAACGATTATGGGACGGGCCCAGTGTACTTAGAGACGAATCCATGTATGCAATTTGATTAGTAAAAATCTCTACATAAATAAAATAAAAAATAATATAATAAATAAAATGTATACCATTTATAACGAAATTTATACTTACCTAAATAAACTCGTAAATCAGAATCGTATTGTTACGTACCTACGTATTTAGTAATTAAGTAATAACAATGTACGACGTAGCGCACGTTTCCAATAGTACTCGACGATATAATTAATAAGGCAATTAATATATTATAACACGCTAGGGCCATTATAAAAGTATCTCTCCAGGAAAGTCAACACTCATACGAAGGATACGAGTCGACCAGCATACCAAGTACGAGACCCGGACGCAGTCTCATGACCGAATTTGGCCACTGATACAACCACCTATTCCAAAGTACTCGATCATTAAATACCAGCCCGGGACAAGAGCTCGACAGACGGTTAGGGATACTCAAGACATTTGGAGGCAGGTCGTAAAACCACTCACGGTCTTAGTACCTATCAGTTCAGAGTCAGGTCGTAACACCGCTCACATCTTCACCATAGCTTATATACATTGTAATTTTGTACTTAAATAAACACCCATGACCCATCATAACCAAGTACATCAGTTATATATTCCTGCGTTGACGTAAATATCGACCTCAGTTGGGACGTAACAGTATAATAAATACGTAAATAAACTCGTAGGTAAATTAGAATAATAATAATGTACGTCGGTGTACACCAAAACCGTTGAAAATAGATGAAAGAACACTTCAGCCATAAGCGAAATATGGTGGTGTGGCTTGGGGGGGGGGGGGAAGCTTGGGGAAGAACAGAATATTTCTAAAGATTCTAACATTAATATTAATGTTACCGTAGACCTAGGTAACTGGGACTCTGGTCCTGTACGTCCAAAAGTAAAGGATAGATAGGTGTTATTATTTATTTTACCAGAAACTTTATATTTATCCTCATTTGCTTGTGCTTATATTTTGGTAACATACATAGGATTATCCAAAGACAAAATTTGGCTTGCAGAATAGGTCTTTTAATGCATCTTATTACAATGACTACGAATGGCTGGAATATAGTATTAATTTAGATGCAATATTTTGCTTTCCTTGTCGCATGTTTAGCGCAACTAATCATTCAGAAGATACATTTACCACTCAAGGCTTTAGAAATTGGAAAAAAGCAAGTTTATTTTAGTTAATTATTTTTATTAACTGTACCAAATGAACATGTTTAAAAATGTATAAAAAAATATAACTATGGCTTTGTAGTTTGTGAATTATTATTCTCATCGGCTTATAATATTAATAATTAATTGTTAAAGAATCAACCAATATTTTTATTTTGTCAATACTATAGTTAAGTGGATCCAAAGATGGAAAATCTAAAAAGTCAAAACTTCAACTACATGCCAGTTGCCTTACTCACATTAATGCTATGTCAAGATGGGCAGATCGAAAAAAAAATCATAAATGTGGTACGAGTATACATACAGAAATAATATCTGGACAAAGAGCTGTGGTTGAATGTAATAGAGATTACTTAAAAAAGATTATTGAGGTTACTCTATTTTTGGCACGTCAAGGCATTTCGTTTCGTGCTCATAGGGAAGATGAGCTATCTTTAAATAAAGGTTATTTAACAATCTATTTATATTAATTAATTATTTATCTTATACTTAACTACTAAAAATAAATGAAAGATTGATGTATTTTTCAAATATTAAAGGTAATTTTAAAGAAACTTGTTTATTGATGTCAAAATTAAATGAAAACTTTGCAACTAAGTTCCAATGCAAAACTAACTACACTAGCTGGTCCATCCAAAACCAACTTATTGATCTTTGTGCTAAAAATATAGTTGATCAAATAGTTGGAGAAATTAAAGAATGTGGAATTTTCAGTGTAATGTGTGATGAAGCAAGGTAATAATAATCAAAGTTATTGTTTTATTTTGTTCTGTTGTTAGAGGTTTAAAATATAAATGTATTCTATTTCTTTTTAGATGCTTCAGACAAGAACAACTTTCACTTTGTGTAAGATATACTAATGGGTTAAATGTTGTTGAACGGTTTTTGGGGTTTATTGATGTATCGATGAAACAAAATGCTAACGCACTTGCTTCAGCCATGACAAACTTTTTTGAAAAAAATGGCATTTCTCAATCCATTGTAGCCCAATCATATGATGGGGCATCTGTGATGTCAGGCCAGTTTAATGGTGTTCAACAAAAAATTAAAACTCAGCATCCAGAAGCAATTAACATTCACTGCATGGCACATAAAGTAAACCTTTTAATAATTATGGATATGTGCAAAGTTGTGAAGGTATTTGTCATTACCACCAATATTGTGTTTAAGTTATGATTATTTTGAACAATTTGTATGAATATAATTATTAATCTCTATACACATACTTATTCTTAAGATAAATTAATATATTTTAATCTTAGTAGTCATTTGGTGTAATGATTAAATGTTTTTACTTTTAGGACACCAGAATTGTATTCAATTGCCTCGAATCATTGTATGTATATTTTTCTCATCCTACAAATAATATTAAGTTTTGTGAGATTCAAAAGAAATTGGGAATAAAAGAAACTTCTCTAACAAGGATTAGCGATACCCGATGGAACTGTAGGTTTAAAAATTGTAGAGCAGTAATTCAAAATTATCAGAAATAAATTAGAAACATTATCACAATTATTAAATGCAGAAGTTGACAGTGCGATGAATAGAGATGTGTCACAAGCTATAGGTAATACTATAATATAGTAGGGTAAAATGCATTGACTATTGGAGTTAAGTAATAATATATTTTGAATATAATAAATTATTAATTGGTTTAGGCATTTTGTATACAATAAAATCAACTAAGTTTATTATAAATCTATTCATTTTGGAAGAAGTTCTGCAGTTAGCAAATATACTTAGTACAAAATTTCAACAAAAGTCTGTAACATTAGGTAAAACGGTAAATCTAATTGAAGGGATGATTGATACTTTTGAACAAAATCGTTCGAATACAACATGGACTGAACTATGGACCAAAATAAATGAATTTATGAAAGAGAATGGGATGTCAATTGACAGTTCTAATGATGCAGAATCAGGAGGTAATATAATAATATATTTGTTTCATATATTTTTAAAGTAAATAGGTACTTAAGTTTATTGATATTGTTTTTAGGATTATCCCCATCTAGACCTAAACGATTAAGGAAAGAGCCCTATCATTTAAATACTTATGTTGTAACTTGTACCACTAGTGCAGAGACGGAACAAATTTCAACTTTTGATAATGACATTAAAAATATTTGGAAGGTTAAATATTTTAACATCTTAGATGCTATAATAATAAATATGAAAAAAAGATTTTCACCTGAAAGCCTACAAATGGCAATGGCTATTGATAGTTTCACAAAACTAAACTTTGATAAAAGTTCATTTTTCATAGACAACTACAAGGTAACAATTAGAATATTTAAATAATATAATAATATACACAGTATATTATTAAAAAAAAAATTATTTATTTTGCTTTTTGTAGAAGCTATGTAAAGTTGATGTTGTAACGCTTAAATCAGAAATGTTAGTAGCTAAGAACTGTATTATTCGTTTAAATAAACACGAAGATGTTGAGTTTGAAGATTTGAAGAAACTATTATTAGATAAATCTGTCTATCCAAATTTGTAATCACTATTACAAGTTGCATTATCCATTCCTGTAAGTTCGGCTACGTGTGAACGTTCGTTCTCAGCAATGAGAAGAATTAAAACATGGCTTAGAACTTCTATGCACCAATAGAGATTTACAAATCTCTCTTTAATACATATAGAAAGAGATATTTCTAATACAGTTAGTACAGAAAATATTTTAGACGAATATTCTAAAAAAGATCGTAGATTCTCTTTTTAATAATAAAATTCAATATTAATATCCAAATGTATTAATTTTTTTTGTTTTAATTGTTTAAGACATTTGAGTGTATTTTATTGTGTTTCTGGGTGGGTGTATGGAGTAAGAACTCCTGTATATTTTATTTTAAAAGGAGTATCTAAAGTAAACAAATTATTAATAATCGTAGTGTGTCAACTCAATGAAACATAATTTAAAAATCCAGTAATACTTCAATAGATATGCTGAAGGGGGTGTGGGGGGCGAAGCCCCCCACGAGTATTTCATATGCATTTGTCCAGCCCCCCCCCCCCTCCAAGTAAAATCTTCAAATTGCGCCTATGACTTCAGCGTACTGAACGTGACTAATAGACGTGTACAAATAATAAATTATAGCTCTAGTAATGAATGGTATGCAGGGAAACAAAATAATAATATAATGATGTAAATTCCTTGAGTTATTTTCGTTTATATATCATAATAATATATATATATATATATATATTTATAATATAAGAAAAATAAATTTTGCAATACGAATACTATAGTTAATTACTTTACAACCTATGTTATAAGAATAATAAATATATATACTATATAATTATGTATACAATTGTTGTGGTCGCCGTTATTGACAATTTTCTGGGAAAAAAAAACCATTACTTTGCTAAAAATAAACGAAAATAAAATCCGAATATACCGTTGAAAAGAAGACATTTCACTGAATAACCACGTATAAAAATGGAAGAAGTGCTCTTATAACCGAGTAAATTATAAGGCCATAAAGATGCCTATACAAATTGTCGACTACTCGTCGACCGCGGCCTCTGAGGCAACGCCACTGTTGTCGACTACCCGACGACCGCGGCACTCAACGTGTTAAATTATACCTATCTATTTTATGCCCTTATTTAATAAAACATCTAAAAAAAGTATATACATAATTGAAGCGTTTAGTGCAACATCTACTATATAGATCTATACAATCAATATATTAGCGTTCGTACATCAAACTACTAGAGAGCAGCACTGTGCTAGATCTGGATTTTTACCGTAATAAAAACACTATTCAGGTGTCGACGACGTCGACTTGCCAGACCTATTATTCTAAGACCATGTATACAACCATGAAGACTAGAGATAAGGAGGCCAAACTCTGCTGGCCGCCTGCACAAAAATTGGTCTATAAACATCTAAGATGGGATCTGTACATTAATTATTTCCTTAAACACTTGCGTATTTCATTACATCATTTTTATTAAATCCATTCAGTTTTACCTAAGCACCTCATCAGAATAGTATACATATAATTTTATCAAGCAGTTCACCAATATGGTATAAAGATTTGGGGTGGTGCAACTGCTAATGTAATCAAACCGCTACAGCTTCAGCAAAATAAAATAATAAGAGTATGTCTGGGTAAAAAAAAAATTAGTAGGGTTAACTGTACTGTAGGTAACTATAAAGAGCTAAACGTTTTGCCTTTTAAATTAATTGACCAAAAATTTGCAATATTATGGGTAATTAAAAATATAAACACTTGGTTTAATATAAAAAAAAGTAGAAGATAAGAGAATAAACAGAGAATATAATGTTCCTGTAGCCTACACAAATACCTCATATGCTCAAAGATTTCTGGACTATCTAGGTCCTACTATCTTCAACTCCATGAATAATGAATTAAAAAATATAATTTGTGTAACAATTAGTAAGCGAAAAAATTGATATCTGATTGGTTATTTACAAACATGGAAAAACTTAAATATGTGTACTAGGGTTACTAATTATTATACTATCTAAAAATAAGATGATAAATGTAATTGTTAAATGTCTTATTATGATTAATTTTTATACCTATTTGTGATGTTTTATCTTTATTTGTATTTGTTTCTGATAATTATTTGTTCTTTTTTAATGTTATATTTATTTTTATATGATATTATGTAATTAATTTTACCGCTTTATAACTCTCTTTCTCCAACACAAGCTTAAGCTTAAAGGAGATAGATAAATCAATCTAATGTTTTTATTTAATATGTATCTTGTTAAATAATTTTTTTTTTTTGATTTAAAAAAATAAATAAATAAATAAAACATCGCACAATAATTTCTCCACCAGTCTGCGTGGCGGTCAAATCCGAGGCTGGCTCGGTGTAAATTAACCCATATTACATAGGGACTAGAGATGGGCAGAAGCGACTATTTTCTACTACCGACTATTAGTCGGTTTTCATTGTGAACTACCGACTATTATTCGACTAAAATTTGTACTACCAACTATATATGAATTGTTGAAATTAGTCGACTAATTAATCAACTAAAAATTTATTCTACTAATTATTTGAACCAACTAAAAATAATACACGAAATTAGTCGACTAATTATTCGACTAATTAATCAACTAAAAATGTATTCTACTAATTATTTGAAGCAACTAAAAATAATACATGAAATTATTCGACTAATTGTTTAAACTAATAAGAAATAATGGTGTTTAGGTACTTTAGTACTTATATTTATATATTATACTTTACTCAATGATTAAATCCAATAAAATAATTACATTATTGTTACGTATTTGCGAACGTAAATGGTCCACAACTATATTAAATATTATAATAATCAAATACATTATTATTTATTAAAATATAATATTTAATATTTCGGATTTTTTTTTTATTTAATTAATTTTACAAAATTTAATTTATTTTAAATATGTGGTTCGGGAAAAAATTAACTTAACGTGCCAATAAAATGAATTAACTCTTCAAGTTATTGAATAACATGGGGAAAATGTAACTCGTTAATTAACTTAGTTAAAAGTAACTTAACTTTTTAACTTAACTTTAACTTATTAACTCGTTAATGCCCAGTCTTGATTTTATCATATTATGTCCATACGCAACATCAAGACAAAATTAATGATTTACACATAATTCACCAAACCGTTATATTTTTGCTGAACCTACTTATAATTCTGGGCTCAGAATGTTTTTCGAATGCTCATTTTATTGCCGTGTAGAACTTAAATGTTTAAGAAAAAATCACCAATAACAGGCAAAGATAATCTGTATCTCACCTTTTTTACTTACCTATTATTTTTCTATAGGTTTGGTATGCCATCAGATAAACAAAAGACAGATTTTACAAGATCGATTGTTGAAATGATAACTGAGGATATGCAACCACTATCTTTTGTTGAAAATAGTGGATTTCAAAACGTTATTCGATTGCTTGATTCAGGGTACTTGGAGCTTTTACCCGGTCACCGAACACTAACTATACTCAGGCCCACGAGAGAGTATTACCGTCGCCCGACGAAAATTCGTCCGATTCCGCGCATTCCCCACTACTCGGCATGCCGACAACTGTTCGGTACCGGTCGGCAGCGCTCAACGCTATATGGTGTATAGCGGTCGCGGAAATAGTGGGGGAAATGGGGCCTCGGAACGATCTCCGCCATCAGTCTGCATGCGCAAAACGGTAATACTCTCTCGTGGGCCGGAGTATAGAAGCATCTTACCTGATCTATACTCTTCGACCAAAAATAAATTGCAAGATATTTTGAACAAATCAAATTATATTTCCATTACTTCGGATATTTGGACATCATTAAATACAGATTCGTTTATGACTATTACGCAGTTCACACATTTGACAGTGCTTTCAATCTTAAAACATATGTATTATGTACCGAAAAACTAGAAAATAATCATACAGGTGAATATCTTAGTCAAACCTTGAAAAATATATTTAATGAATGGGAAATTATGCACAAAATTGTAGCAATTGTAACAGATTCAGGGGCTAATATTAAATCGGCTGTAAACAAATTACAAATACCACACATACCTTGTACAGCGCACATATTAAATTTAATTGTTACCCAAGCAATAACATTTAGAAGTCCGCCAGGTGAGAATAATGAAGTAGGACTTAATGAACTTCAAAATCTAAATTATTTATTGAAGAAGTGTCGTTCAATAGTGACATATTTAAAAAAAAGTGAAGTTGCAAATCGAAAATTGGCTGACAAATTATTACAGTTAGGAGCTACAAAACTGAAACTAATACAAGACGTGTCAACAAGATGGAACAGTAGCCTATATATGTTAGAAAGACTGGTCAAATTAAAAGAACCATTGACCTATGCTATGCTTTCCTTAAAATATGGACCTGCAATGTTAAATGCACAAGAATGGGAAGTAATATAAGATGTTATTCCCATATTAAAACTGTTGAAAGTGAAGCTTGACGGACTAATGATGTTAGCATTAATATAATATATAATAACGTACAACTGGACAATTAAACTGTGACAGTACACACACATCGTATACGCTCTGTACAACGACGCCTGTGCAAGTGAATATTACATACATCAAAGGCCCTATATATATGCACGACCTAGGTCATGTTACATCCGTAAAGAGAGTGAGTCTTATGCTCGTACATAACTAGTTACTATATTGTACACACGTGTCAAGGCTGACTACATATACTACATATTAATTGTATATTTCAACACCCTCCCTCAATTAATAATCTCTTTAATTGTAGTCACTCCTATGGCTGACCGCAACTTCTCGAATCGTTCCTTAACCAAAGGCTTGGTTAGAATGTCCGCAATCTGGTCCTCTGTTCCAATGTACTGTAGTTGGAATTGTCCCTCTTCGTATTTCTCCCGTATGAAGTGGTACCGTACGTCTATACTATATGTTTTGTCCGCTTATGAAACTCCGGATTTTTCACTAAACGAATAGCACTCTGATTATCTATAAATAAAACTGGTTGTTTGTCACCTGTTGTCGATAAGCTTGTTATCAACCGTGTAATCCACAAGATCCCTTTGACAGCTTCACTGGCCGAAATATATTCAGCCTCTGTCGATGACAATGACACACTATGTTGTCTCTGCGATGTCCATGAAATTATGCTTGACCCGTACCTGAATAGAAATCCTGACGTCGAACGTCGTGTCTGAATGTCACCTGCGTAATCTGCATCGCTAAATATTTCTAATGACAATTTTGTTTTGTTATTAAAGTACAAGCCATAATTAAATATTCGCTTGATATATCGTATAATCCGTTTTACCAAGTTCCAATGAGCTTTAGTTGGTTTTGCTAAGTAACGACTAGCAACGTTTACTGCATATGCTATATCTGGTCTTGTTACCTGTGATAAGAACAGTAAGCTACCTACTGCCTGCCTATAAGGAATATCTTCATTCAATATTTCCGTATCTTCTTTTTGTTCAAGTGTATGTGATTTGTCTATTGGTATTGAAAGTTACGTATGATTTTTTTTATACTTTCATTATTATGTATATAATTATTTATTTTGAAGTAAAAATGATATTTTATATATTTAATAACGTATGAAAAAAAAATAAGTCGAATAAAAAAATTAGTCATCGAATAAAAAAAATAAGTCGAACAATAAAATTTAGTCATATAAAAATATTAGTTGACTAATTATAATTATAATTTAACTAAATTAGTCACACGGTACTACCCACTTAGTCGGTAGTAATTATAGTCACTCCTGCCCATCCCAAGTATAAACTATAATTATGTAACTATGAATGAATAAGACTATTTTCATAATGTATTACAATGCTATTAATCATCAATCGACATTCGACTTTTGTTCGTCAATGAGTAATATGTTTTAATTTATTTCTTAAAATGGATTTAAATACTTTACTTTTACCTAACCATCTCTCAATATTTTCACTCGGTGCCTATTTAGGTCCAGATTTCACTGATGAGGAACGGAGTAATGCTGGTAACCGAGGTGAATCGTTATGTAAGTATTCATTTCGGTATAATTCCAAGTGAATTTGACATACCTCAATGTCACTGTTGTAGACCGTTGTACCGAGTATCAAATTATACACGGGAATTTAAATATAGGTTTTAAGTGTTCTGTAGGTCACAAGATTTCGCCCACCAGAAAAACTTCTACCATCCAGCAGGAGGTAAATATAATAAATGTATAATGTTCTAATATGAATAAGTGGAATAATTATTATTGTCGAAGCAATTATATTAAACAGTTGTTATGATATATTGCAGTGGCGTATCCAGGGGGGGGGGCTGAGGGGGCTGTAGCCCCCCCCCCCCGAAATGTCAGGAAATCTTAAATTATTATTTATAAAATAATATAAAATATATAGGCACTATACGGCAATGCGGCATAGTATTACGTTGTTTCCATATTCAAGCAATATCACAAAGACACAAAACGTTTATAACGTCATGTCTGTCAGTATCGATATTATCAATTATCATATTGAATATTCACATTGTTATCATTCTTAAAATAATAACAACTATCGCGAGAGCACTTTACTATCATCGTGTAAACATAACTTAAGTGTAACACTTGTTTTTGTTCAGCATTAAAATGCTAATATTTTTTAAAATTGAAGTCAGTATTTACAAAAATATTGAATCATAAAAAGTTTTTTTTTTTTTTAATTGAGTTAGCATAATAAATTTGGAGCCTGTAATTATACATTACATTTGCATTTTATTCATTGCCAATATTTTTATCGAGTAGACATCAATTAGAAAAAAATATGATGTATAATTTAGTCACTTCTTTGGATATTTGCATCCTTCTTAAAATCTTTAAATTAAATTAAAACTATTATGATTCTACTCCTAATTCTAATAGTAGTCTGGTAGAGTGGAGTATTATTTTCTAGTGCTCATAAAAAACTCTAAAAACATGTTTAAAATATTTTGCATATTTTATTTTATGATTAAGTATATTATTTATATTATAATATTATTCAATAATAGTTATCTTATAAACTTCAAACTAATTTTGAAAAATTGTTTAGTTTTTTTGGTGTTTTCTTGTTTTTAGAACCTTGCTCATTTTTTTCTTTTGTAAGTGAATATCATTCTTGTGTTTACATAATGCGTTATGATATATTTGGTTAATATTTGACTGTGTATTGAGCAACCAACCTTTGTCAAAAAATTTGTTTATATATTTCTTCAATAAATATAAATTATGTTAGAAAAATAAACAGTGAAAAATGTATATGTAGTTTTCAAATTGAAATGCAACATTAAAAACATGATCTTTTACCGGGACAGCTAGTTATATTTATTATATTTAGATATTTTACACTATAATCTAGTACAGTACTTCTCAATTTTTTTTGTCACGAGGCTCCCTAAATTTAATGTAAAACTGTCAAGGCCCCCTTCATCAAAATTATTAATTGTTTTTTCTAAATTAGGTATATACTAAAATTACATGTACTATTTCACACAGATAAATTATTAAAATGTATAGTAATTTTATATACTTTTAAAAAATATTCATAATAGTATTAAAATTTAAGTATTTATTCTTTTACCATAAACGCTTAAAGTCAAAAAATAAAAATAAAAATAAAATAACAACATTTTTTACTAGTGTGTCTGGAAGTTCTAAGTACATTGAACCCTACAATAATCTTAAAAGAAAACATGAACACGTTAATCAATCGGAATCGGAATTTTGTTCTTTAAATAAATATTTTTCATTTTTGAAATTTATTTTCTGTAGAGTACATTACCATGTTTATATTTAATATTTTTAAAAAGGAGGTGACAAAGTCCCCGTGATAAAAAAACAAAATGTTCAACCCCCCCATTGAAAATTCCTGAGTATGCCCCTGTGTATGAGCTTCTTAAGATACTATGAATACTTCCTTTTTCAACAGCAACTGCAGTGAGAAGTTTTTCAACATTAAGGAGATTGAAAAATTATCTTCGAAACACAACATCTGAATCACGGCTTGTAGGACTAGGACTAGCTCTGTTATCAATTCATAGAGATGTAGATATTACTGATGATATGGTACTAGATAAATTTTCGAACAGTGGAAAAGCTAGACGACTAAAATTAACAAGATGATTAAAATAATAATGTATTGTTTTAAAATTTTAAATATAGTTTTTTTAATCACTTATTTTGCAGTTATTTTTTTTTTTGTAACTGATCAGCCCCCCCCCTCAAAAAAAAAAAAAAAAATCCTAGATACTTCACTGATATATTGTGTAATGGCTGTTCTTAGAACTATTTATACACTAGTATTTTTATATTTTATAGCTATGGCCTATGAACTATAAACATGAATTACTAGTTGTGTATATGTCGCATCCACAAAGTGAAACCACTCATTTCATGAACTGGATATCAAGATAGTGAATTTTGACGAAAATACATTATATGGATATCCATTTCATGAAACGGATGTCCGTTTCATGAAATGGACAATACCTATATCGTGTACCTACTTTGTGTAATTATTATTTTATTATATACCTAATGGTTCATAAACTATCATTATACATTTATACGAATATTATATTTAATTTTTCACAATTGATTAATATATAGGTAATTTTCTATATTGTTCTATACACAAAAATATAGCAATTATAGTAAATAAATTATATCATATAATCCATCATATATCATATCAACTACCTATATTTCTCTATTGTTTTATTACCTAACAAAATAGTTAATTGATTAACTTAAACATATCTTAAACGGCTAAGATACATACATTTTTTTCTTATTATTTATTTTTACACGACGATTGATTATGACATCGACTGTTACATTGCATATTATTTTTAAAACAAGCACACCTACTTGATTGGCAAGGATTTTTTGCCTTACATGAACAAGACAAAAATCATTGCTCACCTGAAATTTTTTTAATCATTTCTCTCACCGAAAATTCAACATTTGTATCAACTTGATCAGTAGTGAGAAATTGAGTTGTTGATTTTTTCAAACATTCACTACTGAACCATCCTTTGAGTAAACCATATTTTGTTCCAAGTTTATGTTATCCTTTTTTTTTTTTGTTCCGTGATCACACAAATTATGTTTGGGGGATCTGTAGGTCCCCATATCAACTTTTGGTACTCCAAATACAACACATTGATTTATTTCAAAATCGTCCGTTTTTTTGTTGTTTCCCTGTTAAAAGTAAATTTAAATTAAGATCTAAATAGTAAAAGTACAATATAACTGTATTCTATTATTTACTTTGACCATTTTCTCTGCAGCTATAATTTGACCTTCATGTCCAAGTACACGTTCAATTTGTATTTTTTTGACTGTCCTAATATGAAATTCTTTAATTTTATAAAAAAGGTCTTCATAACACACCAAATACCAAAATTGAAAATAAAAATGTTATTATTTTAAACAAAAAAAATATATTGTAAAAATATTCTAGAATAATTAATTATAATTAATTCTGAATAACTGATTGGATAATAATTTGAAAAAACTTTTTTTTGTGTTGTGTGCTGTTTTAAGATAAAAAAGAGATTACAAAGATTAAAAATAAAAATAAAAACTAGTTTCAAATAATTTTAGCTAAAATATTATATTAATTTACCTTATTTTTTCATCAGCTGCATTTTGTTTGTGTATTAAAAACTTTTCTTCTGCAACACTTAATACATCATATGCAGATAGTAGATAGTATTGTCGTCGATATTTTTTACTACTGTTAGAATAACTAATAATAAAAATATTACAATTTGTATTAATTATAGAGTTGTTTTTTATTGTTGTTTAAATGTGTTAAAATTTATATTTGATTTAATTAAGTAAATTATTTTTATTTAAGTCCGAAATTACTTACGTTTTGATTTTAGCCATTTATATTTCAGCAATCATTTCATGCAATATTTAGGGAACGGTTTTTTTTTAGATTTCAATTTATAATATTCATCTAGCTTTTCATAAAATACGTTCTTTTCTTCCATTTTTATTAAAAGTTGCTATATGAAATAATAAATAGGTACACGAATAAACTGCAAACACTGTAACTGTGTTATACACAAACACTCACTAAATGTTATTTTTTGAACACTTAGGAGTTACATAGGTGTCCGTCAACTGTCAACCGAATATCCGATAAAGAAACATTCATATGATATCGGATATGGAATTACCAAAATTAAATTTGATACCTCTCTAATAGCCTCATATAATATAGATCACGGATAAAGCATTATTATCTTTATTGATATTGAAAAGTATGCTTTGTAACAGTCAATGTCATAATCAATCGTGAAAAATAAAAAAAAATTTTTTTGTTAAAATATAATTATTTATATAATAAAATATAATATACGTATAAATGTATAGGTAATGATAGTTTATGAACCATTATATTATAAAACAATAATTACACAAAGTACACGATATAGGTATTGTCCATTTCATGAAATGGATGTCTATATAATGTATTTTCGTAAAAATTCACTATCTGGATATCCAGTTCATGAAATGAGTAGTTTCACTATGTGGATGCGACATATATATATTTAATTGGGCATAGGTTGTGATGTAGGAGTGTAGGAATGTATCGGAAGTATAAAATAGTATTTATAAACTATAATGATTATATGCATTCTCTTTTTAAATTCTATTAACAAATTTTTTTTTTTACTATTTCTAGATTCTTTAATAGTGATTAAAACAGTGTATATAAATACTATAAATAGGTACTTATTTATACACGATTTGTGTACGATTAAAATATAAGATGTAATTGAATGTACCGTGAAACCGGGTGAATTATAGAAACACTTTTGAACTTTGAAGTATCATAAAAACTTATAGTTTTGAGCTACAAAGTTGATTAGTTCATCAAAATACTGGTCTTGCCGAGTACTTTAAACCTGTCGATTGAAAAAAATTTTTTTTTACAATAAATAATTTTATATATTTTTTTAAGTGCTCTGTTTCTATTGACCCGACAGTTGGTGACAATAGAAATATTTATGACTTTTTCATAAATTTTTCTATTATAGCAACATGATGTTGAATAGAAACAGTTATTGATATTTTTAAAAAATTTTACACAACTTTTACTATTAAACTTTTTTTTTTAATTTAAATACAACAAAATTTACCAAGTGTATCAATAAATATTAAGAAAACAAATTAAAAATAAAAATAAAACTAACATTTTAGTCTTTTACTTTCCAGTCTTTGGGTTAACTTATTTTATAATATTAGGTTACAAACATAAACATAACTCTTATAATGAACATGGGTAAATGTAAACCTAACAAAATGTATATAAATACATCATATGAATAAATTAAATTACTATTTTAGTCTCTTAATTTCCAGTCTTTGGATTTACTTTTTTTATATTATATAGTAGGCAACAAACATAATTAATTAGTTGATACTTTCAACTATTAATTGTTAAAAGGAAATGGTTAGAATACTAGATGGAGTTACAGTTAAATGTGAACTTGAAAAGCCCTCTGGAATATTGTACTGGTTTTTCATTTTTCCAATAATTTGGGATCTATCAAACTCAAAAATATCTTTAACATTTGGAAACCCATACACAAAGCCCATAAACAGTTTTGTGGTTTTGCTTCTTAAAAATTTACCTTCAAATGTAGATCCATGTAATTGTTTAATGATTTGTCCAATATAATACATGTATACAACATCTTTACTAGTTTATTGTTTGAGATTCTCGAGTTGGAAAGATACTAATACCCAGTCATCAACGTTTACTTCATTTTCATTGTCTATAGGGATTATATTTTTGAATGTTATTCCATGTTTCACTACCTGAGGTTCTGAAGTAGTATGGAGAACATTACTTAACGACATTTCGGGTTCATCTATATCTGATGAACTTTCATGAGGCAATTCTGTTCTTAGTTCTCAGTCACTATTAGTATCAGACACAGTTTCAACACTTATCTCTGGTTCTACCTGTAATCTTTTTTTAGTTTTTCTTGGTGTACTGTTACTTGACCTCATACTTTTTAAGAACTCTAACAGTGAATTGTTTATGGTATCTCCACTTTGATTTGCATCACAGCTATCATAAGGCAACATAGTTAGGACTCTGTCTCTGTTAAATGGAACTAAACCACATTTATTAAAACCAGTTTTTATATTATTTACACCATTTTCATTGAGTTTTAGTACAAGTCGTTTCAATAACATAGGAAAACGATCCTTAGGAATAGATATTTCATGAGCACCTTCAGTTTTTCCAGTTTTCTAAAATGTTTCTCCAATGCATTTTCAGTGGTCCAAAAAAGGCCACATCAAGCGGTTAAGTTCGATGCGTGGAATTGGTAGATAGTGAAGTGTGGTCCACCGTCGAATGATGTAAAACCGTAGGTGTTGGCATCAAATAAAATAACACACAGTTTGCTTATAAATAAGATTACCGATTTATTGTATTGAACACTAAAGAATTAATGTATATAATGATAAAACTATTACTGATTTAATAAATTAAATATTGAAGAACTGATATATATAATAAAAAAACTATTATTATGAGAGGTTCTGATAAAAATTATATGAGGCTCTGTAATAAACTATAAAGGATGCTCTGCTTAGTAACACGTGTGTTACTCACTCTTTTGACCAGACTCGACTGACTCTAGCTGGCGGGGCTGTCCCCATGGTCTGTCCCGAGCCTTTCGGAATGTGTTCGCTCAGCGTCTCGTAGGCGTCGCGTAGGCGTCCGTGAGAACCAGACAGTTCTCATACACGCACTACTCGCCACTAGACTGAGTCAACCCATTCATACTTATCATGTTACCCGTTTACAACATACCCCCAGCGTTAAACTGGAGCAGTCCCTGCGACCTTATTTACTACTCCATAAATTTCTTACACTACGGGTACACCTAGTTACAATACCGCCACATGGTGTCTATTATGCTTAAACTTAATTTATTCTACACTTAGGGCAATAAAAAATTTTTTTTTTTATACAAACTTAAGGGTTAACTTGTTCATTGTTTGGAATATTGTCCGCTACCTCTGGACTATACATTTTTATGACCTGGTTCTTAAACTTAACAACGACTATACTTATGGTTAGAGTTATGAGTAATATGGATATGTACATAACTGTAAAGTGAAATTCGACTTTGAATATAAATAGAGGCTCCAATGACTTACGTTGGAGGTTATTTATTTCGATTGCTTTATGTGCTAAAGAGTTTAGATTTTTTATTGGGTTTAAGTTTGAAACATTTTGGGGTAATACAGATGGTAGAATCTCTGCTAACAGAGAGATTACACTGACCTTTGGATTTTCTGGGATTACGTCTGCTTGTATATTTCTAACATTTTTATTTAACGGTTCGAGTACAGAATTTTCCGTAAAAATTTCACATGACAATGAGGTGGTCAACCTACCCACGCCCGAGATCTCCACGGTATAGCTTTGTAGATGTTCTAAACAGGTAATCGTACACGTGTGTGGTTGTGCATAGTACAACCAAGAATTGGTTTTTGACAATCGATTCCAAATGGGTGTGTCTAATGTTACAAATTTAATTTTACAATTTCCTAATGTATTTTGCGAGTTAGACAACCGTGAAATTTCGCACAAGCTAGATCCCGTTCGGCGGTGTATTGGTTGATCACCCTTACAAAGAGTGTATAATTCTAGCTTAATACATAGTTCCCATTGACTTAATTCTAATACAAAAAAATGTTCATTATTATTACTTAAAGCAAGGTAGTCGACTTCAGGGTCAATTAAAATTACTGTATTTACAATGATCAGTCCACAAAAGGACGGATAAGATTTTTATGTACTGTCACCCTCCTTCTATCCTTTTGCAATGTTACATTTTCATTTGCTTTAAGCTCGATCACCTCATAAGGTCCCAACCATTTAGGACTAAGTTTCCCTTTTCGAGCGTTGTCTTTAAGGAGTACACGATCTCCCACATGAATGATGATCTGATTCTGATTCTGATCGTAAGTCTCTTTTGTCTTCTGTTTGTGTTCCAACAGACGATCGCGGGCTATTTGATGTGCCACTTGGAGTTTCTGCTTCAATTCTACATGGAAATCTTCATAATTGTATCGAGGTTCTGGGGGTTTTGTGAACGAGTTTGGCATTGTCACAGTGCGACCATACAATAGTTCATAGGGTTGTTTCCCTGTGGAACGATGTTCTGAGGAATTGAATACGAACATTGCATATGGAATGAACGTATCCCAATTTGTTTGATCTTTGTCAACGAAATGTCGCAGATATTCCCCTAAAGTTCTATGGCTTCTTTCAAGAGCTCCATTAGCTTGCGGATGGTAAGGGGATGTATTGCATTTTTTTATTTTCAGCAGTTTGCATGTCTCGGCTAAGATCTTGCTTAAAAACTCTGTGCCTTGATCACTAACCAGCATGTTTGGTATTCCATGGAGACATACACAAGAGGTTACGAAATGATACGCCACAGTGTTGGCTTCATGATTTTCCATTGGACTAGCCATGGAGAATTTCGTGAGGTCACACTGCATTGTTAAGATGTAGGCATTATTGCTATGTGTTCTCGGTAAGGGCCCGACCACGTCGATAAATACCTTCTCGAAAGGTTCGGTGGCCGTGGTACTTATGACCATTGGTTGCCTGACGTTCTTGTTACACGTTTTGTTTATCTGGCATGATGGACATTTGGACACATATTCCTTCACATTATCTTCCAATCCTTCCCAGTTAAATTGTGTTTGAATGCGCTTTACGGTTTGGTTTATACCGCGGTGTCCTCCTAGTAGGCTGGAATGATGCTCTGCGATGATCTCTAGTTTTTCCGCGTGTGTTAACTCTGTTAGAGAATAAACATGGATTTTGATATCTATCTCCTTAAATACAAACCGAATCATGGTCCGGATGGCAGACCAATCAAGTTGGTCTATCCCACTGCCAATACGGGGCATCGCTAGTTTGTCAATATCGAGCTCGATGCATACC